TATCTACAAACCAAATCCGCCTTCCCAAAATTTACCCCCGGAACTTAATCCATTAAAACTACCCCGAAAAAGTAACGGGGGAAGGCTAAATTTTTGGAGCCCAAAAATTTTTGGTTGAATTTTCTAATTTTAAATATCAAATTACCCAAAATTCAAGCCTATGCTGCTACTATATGCCATATATACGTATATCTACATATTTGATCAACGACTAGCCTCAATCGAAAGTTCTCTCTCGTGAGCAGGAGGAGTAATTAACTATATGGGCATGCGCCTATAGGAAACCAGAACTCAGATCATAAAGTCCTTGCAAAATGAGGGTGAAATCTCTGGGTAGTGTCTTATCTACAAACCAACCCGCCTTCCTAAATTTATCTCAGAACTTAATCCGTTAAAACTCCCCCAAAAAAGTAACGGGGAGGTCGGGGCCAAACTTTCGGAGCCCGCACCGCCGCAACCTTCACCACCGAACTCCTCATGTTCACTGCCTTCTTCCTCTATTTAGCTGAAACCCCTCCACCTGTTGAAATCAGTCCATAACCGACACTTCTAACCCATCCTCACGACGTCACCTCTTCACCACAAGCTGAAGGCTTCACATGCCCAAGTCAACGGAAGTACCCATACCCATCGGTTGATTCGCAAGAACCTCTCTGTCGTACGCCTTTCCCAATCTGCTCCCTACTGAATCGAAGAACTCCACCCTAGCCGATGTCAGTAACCTTCCCAAGCAACCTGACGCCTTCGACCTTCCATGCTAGAACAATCCAACGCCAAGATTCCTGAAGCTGAGACCATCCGACCAATCTTCCTCAAGCTGCGCCACCTCCAACTCTTCAAGCCTTTACTCGATCACCTTCACAGAGTGTATTAGTGTATATTAATATTTCACTTACTGTATTACGGTTAATGCTAATATCACTTGTCATTATTAATACTAATTAGTTTTATTATTATTTAGTATTACTATTATTACTACTAAAAGTAAATATAGATATATAAAGAAAAAAAAAGCAAAATATAAAATAAGGAAGAAGTTTTAAAAAAATAAAAGAAGAGAAAAGAAAAATAAAAAAAGAGAAAAGTGCAAAAAAATAAGAGGGAAATTTGTGTTTTATGTATGTTTGAGCTTCATCACTGCCTCAACCTCGTCTCTACATTACACGGGTATAAATTTCTAACTCAAAAAATCCCGCACATGACGCTTGTGACGAGCTGGCGGAATTCCCTACGCGCTCACGTGGCACGGTGGGAGGAAAACCAATGTGATGCTCGCAAAGAGGCGGATAAGCCTCGAAGTGCTCACACAACGAGACGAGGATGAAAAATAAGTATCCTTAAGCTCTCACGTAGTGTAGCAGGGGAAAGAAAAATTGCACCGTCTTTTAAACAGGTACCCGAATATCCTTAAGCGCTCACATAGCATGATAGAGATTGAAGAAAATGCGACCGCAGTGTCATTCGACACCTACCTGAAGCGCTAACGTAGTGTGGAGGGAAAGGTTCTGTCTCTCGGGTTTTTCTCCTAAACGGCAAAGACGCCAAGAGCCTGCCGAAATTTGGACTGAATAGGGGACTTGTAAACTTGAACTTGAACTGGGTATGAACAAAATGGAACTCACACATTGAACAACGACGACTTGGACTCAAACGATTTGAACTTAAACTTGAACTAAATGTAGAAGTATTAAGTTTGCACAATAAAGAATCAAACTTTAATTTAATGATTGAATAATCACTTTAAAAAAATGAGTGTTAATTAATGAATTTGATTGTGCAAGCAAAAAATCAATGAATACATGATCAGTATGAAGATGAAAATATTGAATTACAATCATGATTATTCAGTCATTAAATTAAAGTGATCAAATGAAGGACTTATAAGGGGCAAAACAACAATACGGCTTGTTTATATGTGTCAATTAATGAAGTTGCGAACATAACTCGCTCACAAGCAATACGAAAGTTGTAAGGGACACCACCTGATTTCATGATAAGATAGGATGCCTTTGATGGATAACAAAACTTGCATATGGATGATAGCGATTGATTCACAATGTTCATCTCAATCATGCAATTAGTTGATCTGAGACGATTGCGATAGACATAGGGATTTATGATGAATGGAAAACAAGCTCTCAAGAGACATATAAGAAATGATAAAACAAAATTATCTCAGACCATTCAAGCAAATCAATATGCATGCAATGATCAAATGGAGAATGTGGTAATATGCCTACAACCAATAGCACGAAGTTTTCCCACAAGCATTCAAAAGCCTTCATGCCAAATAGGACAAAAATGTCGTAAAGACAATTATCACTAGGGAGCTTTCCGAAGTCACCTTCAAGGACAAAAGATCCATGATGTATATAACAAGCAAGCCACATATGGATGACAATAGAAGATGATGCAATAACATGCTCATAAGCAAAGCGCGGAGAATGTGCAATGCACACAATGTAACATCCACGAAGGAAGATAATTGATACAATCTGCATATGACCAGTGTCTCCTAATTGTAATCAACAACCCTTCAACTTCAAGAGAACACATCAATTATACAATCTGCATATGCACCGGCTCCCTAAAAGCAAGAGTAGATAATACATAGCAAAGTACAAATATCTACGGGGTTGTAGGAGATCGGTCATACGCATTACATGCTATATGCAAGCAAACACCAGATAATACGCAGTAGATACAAGCTCCTCCAGGCCGCTGAAGAATACCAATCGTGTACTCAACACATTACCGACAAACAAATACAAAAGGATTATGACAAACACAAGCTCCTACAAGCTGCTGTAGAAGATACGTCAAATATCCAAAAATGCCCCCGCACGTGCACTATGATATGTATACACCTAAATACAGAGAAGTGCACATGCAATCATGAACCTGTATGGGCCCCGACAAACATATTGTATTACACACGTGACATCTGAGGATGATGCATAGGTTAAAAAGTGAACTTAAGTTCAAGTCCAATTCCCCTCCTTGATAGGAAGGGAGTTAACATGGCTTGAACTAACAAACAAATATAAGGTCATGATATCGACCGGGATATTTATTTAATAGTTTATATTAGGCCTTCAAAGTTTATTAAATGAATGGTTAACTGCCAATGGCATAAAGCCTATAATGAACTTGATCTTTTGTTGACATGTAGACAAAATGGACAAGGTTAAACCCATAAATAAAATTCTCTATAAGTCACCCCGATGATAGCCGTGTTGAACGTAGATCTCAACCGGAGGGGTTACCTCCAAATATTGCAAATGCCTCCAAATGCTTCAAAATGCTCCCAAACACCCATGAAACTACAAAAATATCAAAGCTCAAAATATTTAAAATTGAAATCAATCATCAACGCTTAAGACAAAATCTATCTACCATTCGCAATAATTTGTCGAGGTAGACAAATTTGAACTCTTTGTCAATTAAGGTGAACTTAAAGTTGTCCCCTTAGGCAAATATCCACCCCATGTTTATAAGGTACCCTTGGACGACGCAACTCATGGCTGCTGACAAGGATCCTTCTGTCAAGTTGGGTCGACTACCTTCTATGACTAAGTAGACTAGGGATCATGATAGCCCGAGATGACGGAAGCATGGGATCTTGATCAGGTCCATCATCCATTCCCCCACCATTCGCTTTAATGCAAGATGGTGAAAATTTCAATTTTTAAATATCAAGTTTTCAAACAACCAAAACCATGATGCTACTATATGCCATATACTATGTGTCTTTACATATCTGATTAATTACTAGCCTTAATCGAAGGTTTTCTCTCGTTATATGGAAGGGTAATTAATTATAGGGGCTTGCACTATAGGAATTAGGAAACCAAAACTCATATTATAAAGTTCTCGCAAAATGAAGGTGAAATCTCTGGGCAGTGACTTATCTACAAATCCAATTTGCCTTCCCAATTTTTTTCCCGGAACCTAATCTGTTAAAACTCCCCCAAAAGAAAACAAGGAGGTTGGGGCGCAAATTTTTGGAGCCTACAAATACCTGTAGACGAAACTAGAGACTGATTGTGTGAGGGAGAAGACTTGCATTTGCAAGCATGATGATGTTCTACGAGTGAGAAAATGCATTGTGAGTAGGTCGTGAGCGAGATGCACCGCGAACGAGATGATGTGCTTTAATTTGATTTCCATAGACATCTTCTACTGAGAGTGATCGTGATCGATCACGATGAGCTTCGACATCCTGAGACGGAGATGGATTGCGATGTGTGACATAGAGACAGCTAGGTTTGTTTATCTTCTTAATATCCTTCGTTCATATGATTTTGATATTTTTGTTCTTAGAAGTTTTGATCTACAATGACTGTTTTGTTTCTAATTTGAGACATGTTGTTTATCTTTTAAAATCAAGTTTAGTTATTCTTGTTTAAACTGAAATCAATGGTGGAATATTGTTGATGTCTTTTTTTATATATCCTGAAAATAAGTTGGTGAAAGTTCTTTTGATTGCATATAAAGAGGATTCTTGTTGTTAAGATGTGAAGTTGTCATTTAGAGCTCTTAAAGTCTTTATCACATATTTAGTCAACAAAAATTGAACTATAGTTTTGATATTCCAGAAATTAATTTAAAGTTTTTTTAACAAATACCCTCATATTTGTTAAATACCTAAAATATCCTCATATTTAGCTTTGGAGTTTGTAGTACCTAAAATACTTTTATATTTAAATTTGGAGTTTAACTTTAACTCTTATTTTAGGCTTTAGGACTAAATTGGATCAATTTTAAATAGTTGAGAGACTAAATTGGAGCAATGCAAAACTCTAAAACTAAATTAGACATTTATCAATAATTGGGAGACTATTTTGAGCTTTTACTCCAAAAATTTATAAATACAACTAACTAATAAGGTTGGTCATGCATTAGAATATAAATTTAAGGAATACTACCTCTGAAACAAAAATAGAAAATTTTAACAAAATAAAGAATGCATGTAACATACAATGTAAAAGAAAATTTACCTATGATTGATAAATCTAGCAACATTCCCGTAAAACGTTGCATCTAAACAAAGTGCCTCTTCATCTTTCAGAACTTGTTCAGATCCCCAGTCTGCATCGAGTAGAACAGGATACGTATGCCTCATCTTGCCAGTCACAAGTAACTGGCGATCAAAAAGCTCCGTATTAGTAAGAATTTCACCAACATATTCACATATGAAAGCTCCCATAGGAAGTTCTTCAAGGGTACGGAGCCCCCATCCCTTGCCTTCTACAGTCCAAAACACCTGGTGGCAGAAAATGAGAAGGTTCAAGATTCACGTTAAATCATGCTATCAAACCCTACACATTAAATTGACTGTTTCTTGAAAAAAAAAAAAGGATAAAAATCTTAAATTTAAAGTTTGTGGACAGAAAAAATAGCTACAAAGTATATAATCCAACTTCTGCAAAAAAAGGAGAGCAGTATGACCTGCAAATTCCTTGTTATTCCACGTTGCACCAGTCTATTTCCACAAATTCTATTACATCCACATTTATTCCAGCACTCCTTCACAAACTTTCTAATCAAATGTCCCTTGCATGGTTCTGGCATCATCTCATTTCTTATTCTCTCAATGGGGCAATCTTTACAAAAATATAGGTGCTTCTGTAGCCGATCACGCTTCATTGAGATGATGGCATCCAGAAATTCCTTCTTCATAAGACCATCTGAAGTATAAGCATAATCTCCTCCTGTCTCTCTTGCACATGGACATGGAATAGATGCTGCTAAACAATCTCCAGAACAAGTAGAGCAACAATCCTCATCTCCAATTCGAGCTAGCGATATATTGACATAAGCGTTCTGGTAAACAATATTTCTAGGAATGTAGTGAAATGGTGGATATCGCTCTGCGGGTCCATTTGCAAGTGAAATTTTCAAATTTTCTTCACCCCTACTAATGTCTGTGTCACAAAATGCAACAGTCTTCGTACTACTAGAAGAATGCTGGGGCTGGAACACAACTAAACCAAGTGAATCATTTGCTAGAGCTTCTGAATTTCTGATATCTTCAGAATCCTTACCTCTCTCACTCTTATTGTTTGAGTAGTTTTGGAGATTTGCATACTCTGGTTGACCATTTGAGATGATTGGATTCATTCCTTGAAACCTATCCTGCAAACCAGCTACGTTTATAGTGATTTTGAAAGTGCATGAACCATACATGCAATATTCATCTAATAAAAAGCTATACGTACAATATTTCCTCGTTCTTCTGAAGAATTGGAGCTTAATTCCATAACACAATGACACATTTCTTTCAGCAACCTCAAAAGTGAAAAATGCGGCTCAAGGATCTTATACGACTTCAGACATCTATCCTCCACCATTTTGCAAAGAATTTCCAAGCTTGGGATCTGGAAATTAGGACAAGGTAGTGCTGGATCATATAGAATCACAAGTCTCACCTCCCCTGACAATGAAGAAGCTAACTCAATCCTGATTGAGGAGGAATTCTGAGCACTTCTATCCACATCAGTGGAAGCATTTTTGCCATTGTCATGTAATGAGCTTTCTTTACTGCTACTCGAACCTACATTTGAGCTTGACATTATTTGCAATGGCATGGCAGTTGTAATTGACCTAATTAATGCAGCTTATTCATTTTTAAATGATTACGGTAAGCTGCAGTGACTAATTAACAAACAGAAAAAGGACACAATTAGCATATTGATTGCCATAAGCTTTCGTTATACAATATTCCATTGAATTAACCTCCATTAATAAGTACAATCATCCAAAAGATATACAAAATAAATTCAGACAGAATATACAGCAAGGCTTGACACTTCGAAATTCTAGCAGAGCTGTTGGAGTTGACCAACAATCATGTAAATGCTAAAGGGTACAATGAAGTGGCTAAGTCCTTAGCCACTTGCTCTTATGAATTTGTCGCCAGGAGAAAGCAACAGCAAGGATGCAAAAAATAAGGGATTCATTCCAAAGATAGGAGGGACAGGAGACCAAATCTGCCTAGAGATTGGCATCACCTTGAACACCCAATGGCAACCCTACAAGCTAGGCTGCTAAGGATTGTAGGGCTACCAACATCAAGGGTGGAGCAGATTCATGCTACTCATCGTATCCGGAAGGGTCGTGCACCCTCCACCAACCTAGCCAACCTACACTCAGTTGCAAGTGCCCAAGATTGAGCTTGATACCTATTGTAGCCCCCCAAATCCACTTCTAAACGAGAAAATCCTAAGATTTGATAGGAAGGAAGTGGAGTTGATGCAAGAATTTCAAGGTAATCTAAGCCATATATTCAATTTTCCTGAATTGGGAAGGATTTGAATTAATTTTGGAGATTGGGCTGAACAAAATGAGTCTATGCAAGACCCAATTTGAGTTTGAATAGGGTCGATTTATTTCGATTTGAGTTGATTTAATTTAATTGAGTTGAACGAACTCAATCGGGCTTAATTGGGTCTGATTTGACTCGATCCAAGTCAAATCGACACAAATTATGTCAACAACGATACGTCAATTATTTAAAGTATAGGACAGGGATATGAATTGGACATTGTATTATGATTTTTATATCTTAAAAATAGTGTATAAAAATTGAATAAGTAGAATATTAAGAATACATGAAAAATAACAAGTCATTTAACAAGAATTTGTGCTTAAAATGATTAATATTATAATGTTAAGAGTCAGCCATGGATGTCGTATTAGGTATCAAGAGGGGATGCAGTAATGTTGTCGAAAGTCGAGCATCGAAATTGTGCAATGGGCATTGAGCATTGATGTGGAAATAGTGTGAGCCCTCGATGTTAAAACAACGTTGGTCATCGATATTGAGATGACATTGAAAAAAAAAAAGAAGAAATGTCAAGATGGCGTAGAGGGCATGATTGTGGATGTAGAAATTGTTAGTGCTGACATCAATGTTAAGATAAAATCAGACTTCAATGTTGAGATGATTTTAAAATATTGATGTTGTGACATCAGAGAGATGGCATCATGCATTGTTGTGACATCCTAGTCGTAACATGTTAGAGAGAAATGGAAATGGAAATATTCAGGGAATGGGAAAATGAGTATGATTGATTGATTTTGAGGCTGTGGAGAATAAATAAAAGGAGAAGGATGTTGACCTCTGTATAAAGCACAAAGGAAACAAAAAAAAACAGACTAACCTCGTATCCATCGAGAATCCGTCGAATCCAGCAAATCCTACGCGTCTCAATCCGTAAATCCCGCAAAATCGTTGTAGCACAGCGCCGTTCCGGGATGTCTGCGAGATTCCTGTTCGCAGAGCCTCGATCCTCGCCTTCTCCGCTTCTGTAAAACGAAAGGGTTGGCTCTTATGTTCGCTGCTTGCTCCCGTCGCTGAACCACGATCCCCTCCTCCTCATCCCGTCCGAAGCCTCTCCGATCTCCTTCTCTGTTTCCACGCTCGAGCTCCCTCTTCTCCTGCTCACTGCTCCAATCGGAAGCCCCAACCTCCAACCGATCTCCTCTCCATTCCACTAAGCCGAAGCCAACCCCAAGCTCCTCTGTGCCAATCCTGAGCCGTGAGAGAGAGAGAGAGAGAGAGTTGTTTTCCCTACCTGCCATAACCGCTTCCCCCTCCACTCTCCTCTTCTCTACCCGATCTCCAGCCGAACTCCTCTGCGCCATCCGTCCCATCCGCCCTTACCGACATTTCCCTTGTGCGATCTCACGGCCTGCAGCCAACAGCCACACCCAAGGCTCACGCTACCCGATCTCCTTCACCCGTGCGTGACCATGCCCGATCTCTCTCCCTTTGAAGAAAAATTATTCCTTTGTGCTTTATATATAGTATATTATATATTTAATACATATATAGTATATGTATATAAATTATATATATTTTATAGTATATATATATATATAATTATATATATAATATATCGTTATATATTATTTGTTATATATAAAGATATTAATATATTTACATATTAAAAAAAATATTTTGATAAAAAAATTGTTCTTTTATCGATGCTTGCAACGAACGGCAAACCCCGAGGCTCACGTAGCGTTAGGTTGGGAAACGTGCGATACTTGCGACGATTTAAGGATCCCTCTTCAAAGCTTGCAACGAGCCGGCAAACCCCGAGGCGCTCAAGTAGCGTTTAGGGTGGGAAACCGTGCGCGCTTGCGCGAAGGGAGATAAAAATGTGGTGTCCTTATTTTTTTCAATATACAGTACCCGAAACGACGCCCAGTGGTGCAGAGGGGGAAAATCTGTGTTCTTTCTAACACACTGTTTCTTTCTTATAATCAACAAACATAAAAACCCTTAAAATGCTCACGTAGCAGCGGGGATAAAAATTTTCATTCGCGACCGCGGTGTCATTTTTTTGACACCTACCTAAGCGCTCCACGTAGCGTCGAGGAAATGGTCGCCTCTTGGTTTTTCCCTAAACGGGGAGAACGCCGGGAGGCTGGCCAAAATTGGATTGAAAATCCAAGGACTTAAACAAAAAAAAAAACTTGCATTGTGACCTAAATGAAGCTTAAGATTTGGACCAATCATATCGAATTTCACTTAACCTAAACTACAACTATAGTGAATCATGAAATGGCTGAATTTCAAGTGAATTTGAACAAAGACTCGAGCTTAAAAAGCTAAGTGCAAATAACTCGAGCATTGACTTGAAGGTAAAATTGCACTTGAATTCAAACATATAAGCATGAACTGTATTTGAACTCAAAGGAGATTGGTGCAATGAATTTGAATGAACTCGAATACCAAGAGCTTGACCGAAAAAGACTACAGACACAAATTAGAGCTTGATTTGAACAGTCATGCAACACTTGAACTCAACGCAAAAATAAACTCAACTCATACAAAATATATACTTGAGTCTTATAGAAGGAAACCTTCTTCATCTCTATCACCAAAAATGATCCAACTCAAAGAGATACATCAATAGAAAGATCAAACTCAATGAACTACAAGGGAGCTTGGGATGATGTGATATGGTGGCTTGAACATTCAATCAAATCAAATCTAAATGGATTGACAACACTCATATATAAGCAAAATATGAAGTGTCCCTACAATCTACTAGAGGCAAGATGCCTTTACAACCAATTGAATCAAATTACTATCAAATGTCTTAGTTCCTAGCAAGCAGAATTGTTACTAAATAAAGTTCCAAAATAATTTACTTCGAAAATCAACCTTGAAGCAACGAGCACAAGATCTAGATGGAGATGTCAAAAGTAGTGATCATTCAAATATATGCAAAAGAACACTTATAACCATATAAAGATGAAGGAAGGTTGATGTGTATATAAACATATGAGTAAATATACATTGTCCCTTGCAAATAAAAGTTCACAAGCATGTCTCGCCCAAGATCGCCACGGATATTCCTAAATCATCACGTATGTTTGTAAGTAATATGTGATCTTTAAGTTAAAAAAAAGGGGTCATGGGAGAAAGAGCTTGATCTTCATGCAAGAAAGTATGGTAGCTCCTATACATCCTGTGCGAACACTGACGAAGAGATCATAGATGTTAGAAGAAATTAAGTGTGCCACACAATGTGACTGTGAAGGTCTATCATGTACACAGCATTCATCTACAAGCTCCACAAATGAAGGAGGAGATAGTTAAGTTGACTATGATCCGCCTACAAAATCAACAATAGTGCACGACAGTCTACCTGTACGAAGCAGCGAACAAGTCTATTCAGAAGCTCTACGCCACCGAATACTGCAACATTCGTACAAGCAGACAGAAGGCGTCCACAACTAAAACACGCCACACCGACTGCATCTCCGTACAGCAGACATAAGGCGTCTACAAATATTTAATAGTACCCCCACGTGCACTATAATCTGTATACACATATGTACACTAAAGGGGAAAGTATAAATCTCAGCCCTGCATGGGCCCCGGCGAGCGTTTATTGGTACACACGGGACGTCTAGGGATGCTGCGCGGGTTATCAAATTTAAACCGATCCTCCTTAGCAGGTAAAAAGGAGTCGACAAGGGTTTAATTATAAATACAATCCAAACCCGCAAGGGCCCGGCGAGCGTGTTATTGGTAAACGAGACGTCAAAGGATGCTGCGCGGGTTGATAAGTGAATCAGGTTCGAAACCGATCCTTCTATACGGGTCAATAGAAGTCGACAGGTGTTTCAGAACCATTAGCAAATATAAAGTTGTGGCGACCAGTATATTGCTTAAAACATTCATATTAGGCCATCAAGGCCTACAACAGTATGAATTCACTAATAAGGGCAAAAAGCCTACGAAACCCGATCATCTGCAACAGCTCGACAGAGTCGACAAGGGTTCATCTACAAAATTCAACTAAATATTTCAAATGATTCCAAACACACCCGATGGGTCGTGTTGAAATGCAGATCTCAACCGGAGGGTTCCCAATCAAATATCTCCAAATACCAAAGCTCCATTAAGAAACACTTTCAAACGTGCTCACCCACAAAATCCCAGAAAAATCCAAAAACAACAAAAATCTCAAAAATCCCAAAATTCCAAAATATTTAAAAATGAAATCAATCCATCAAACACTTAAAGCAAAGTCCATCCCACCCTCCGCAACAGTCTGTCGGGTGGACAAATCAATAAATCTATCTCACAAAGAGACAAATGCCTAGTCGAAAATATCACTAGGATCCATTCTCAACAACAATCTTTTGCCAGTAAGGACCGTGGTACGTGTCCTCTAACCGGCAGTTCGGCCGCCAAATGGCACTGCGGTAAACGGTTATGCCCGGGGGGCCCTCTGAACCGAGTGGCGTTTGCCGCAAATGGCACCACAGATATAGCGGTTATGGCCAGAGCCAATACGCTCCTTAATGGCGTTAAATCCTTGAGATATAATTCATAGGATATGATCGATAGGGCCAAAGCCCTCGTAGCTAAGGTGGTTATAAATTTGTCCCTTAGACACATATTCAACCCCGGTCTACAAGGTCCTTTGGAAAAGCACCCATGGCTGCCGACAAGGATCCTTCTGTCAGGTTATGGGTCGACTACCTTCTCTGACTAATGTAGAACAAGGGACCAGATGGCCCGGGACGACGGAACCATGGGATCTTGATCGGTCCATCATCCCATTCCCCCACCATCCGCTTTAAGTGCTAGATGGTGCAATTTCCTATTTTAAATATCAAATATACCGAAATCCAAAAACCCACATTTCCAAATTCAATTCTACCAATATCCTAAACCATTACTGCTACTATATGCCAGATAACACGTATTTACGTTGTCTCTGATTGACGACTACCTTAATCGAAAGTTCTCTCTCGTGACCGGTGAGGGTAATTAATTATAGGGGCTTGCGCCTATAGGAAACCAGAACTCAGATCATAAAGTCCTCACCAAATGAGGGCGAAATCTCTGGGTAGTGTCTTATCTACAAACCCATCTGCCTTCCAAAATTTACCTTGGAACTTAGTTCGTTAAAACTCCCTCGCCGAATAAGAAACGCGAGTGGAGGCCGAGGCCGAATTTTCGGAGCCCACAAAGGAGAGGAAGAGGAAGAGAAAATGAGGGAGGAAGAAGAAGAAATGAAGAAGAAGAAGAAGAAGAAGAAAAGAAGGAGAAGGAAAGAAGAAAGAAGAAGAGGAGGAGATGGAGGAGTTCTTACCTAGGTGATGGTGGCGGAAGTGGTCAATGGTGGCAAGTTGGGCAAGTGAGGTGGAGAGAGTCGAGAGGGAGAGAGGGTCAAGTGAGCATGAGTTTGAGTCATGAGTGGCGTGCGTGAGCAAACGGTTGGTGAGTTTAGGTTTAAGTGAGGGGAGAGGGATTTATTAGGATTATTAGGGAAATTTAGTTATTAATATTTCATTTTTTTTTAAATTCCACGTCAATTTTAAAAATAAAATTGAAGAAGTTGATTTTTTATGGTGGATATTTTTTTGAATTAATTATGCATCAATCAGGTCACCACATCGTCGTCGTTCAGGCACATTGATGCAACCTCGACCAGTGTGTATAATTTTAATATTTTCATCAACAACCCCAACCAATATATATGTCGATCTTAGCTTTTAGTTGTCCCGAATGTCATGGCGCTATCCGTTTCAAGAACAAAGGTCATTTCAGTTATTTGAATTTTTGGTCAATATGCATTGGGCAAGTTTCATTTGACGTCACGCTCTTTCTCTTTCGAAACTTATCGTGCACGGCCGACTCGACCCTAACACTGGTATTGAGATCAACATTTCTCTTGAAACTTTATCATGTGTTTTCTCGAATTTAGTATATATATATATATATATATATATATATATATATATTATTACTCTCTCTATACTTATCCATCAAATCTCTCAACAAATGCATAGCTTCCATAGTAAACCTACCTAGCATGAATCCAAACTGATTTTATGAAACAATAGTATTACATCATAACCTATGCTCAATTACTCTTTCCCACAATCTTAACGTATGACACAACAACTTAATTTCTTCATAATTTAAACACATTTGTGCATCACTTTTATTCTTAGGAGCCAACACACTTTTTCTCCACTCATCTGACATCTTTTTAGTCTTCAAAATAATATTAAAAGGTTTAGTAAGCTAAGAAATTTCTTAATCTCCTAAGCATTTTCACACTTCTATTGGAATATCATCAGCTCATACTTTTTCACGGTTCATTTTTTTAAAGTCTCTTAAACTTTGATTTTATTAGCACGATGATAAAAATAAAATATATAATTTTATTTAGGGTGTAGGGTCATTGAAGTCAATCATATTATGACTACCTTCATTGAAAAGTTGATCAAAATATATATCATCTATCTATGTTAAATATTCTCTTATAAGAAAAACATTTTTTATCTTTATCCTTAATACATTTCACATTAACTAAATTTTTACTTCTCATATCTTTGCTTAACTAACTTATACAAACATTTTTACCCTCTTTCGTATATAATCTATTATATAAAAAATTAAAAGTTAAATTCTTTGAATCACATATTGCTCTCTTAAAATTCATATGACTCCTTTGTATATTTTCTAATTTTTTGAGCTTTTACATCTAAACCAATTTTTACAATAAAGTATCTTTTTTTTTGTAATATTTTGAATTCACCACCAAGCTTTTCCTTTTTATTCTCCAAGTATATACCTTATAATATTATTAATATAACTATTTTTTTTCACATAACATTATCTTCCTCATGAACAATACAAATCTTAAGAAATTGAATCTTACCCTAAAAAATTTTTTTATTAGTATTCTTTAAATACCTTTATCTAATTCTAGGATAATATTTTATTTTATTTTTGATTTTTCAACCCTTCATATTAAAGTCTAAAAGTCTAAAACTAATAAGTGATATTGGATATGTAAACATTTACTTGGAATAACATTATACTTTTTGCAATCTAGATAATTTATTTCTTTTGTAAGAAAATAATCAATCTGAGTTTTATTATGTCCTGAGCAGTTACAACAAGAAAAATAAATTAGTAAAGCCTATTAGGCCCAAAAGAATGACAGCTTGATACATGATAGTTTGGATTGTTCGAAATGTTATTATTGGCATGCCATTTGGAAGAAAACTAACTAAGTTTCATGAAAAATAAATTATTGCATACAACATAGGATCCATACCTTGAACTCAATTTGGACAAATTATATATAATGGGTCCCCTCTATCCATTGGATAATTCTAGGAAATATGCTATGAGGATATTAACTTCTTAGTCAAGGAGACTATGAGATCTCTTAAATACAAGAAATTAAAACTCTTAAACATCAATACCCTATTTGATGTGTCCAGTAAAAGCGCACATGCACTCACATAGATTAACTTAATTATGCTTATTTAATAAAATATGAAACTCTCTTGGGTGCTATCTACCGACAAATTTTATATATTTCTATATATTTTATGTTAAAAAAAAAATTTGATTTATTGTTCATAATTTAAAAGAGTGCTATGATAAGATTCAAAAAAAAAATCCAATAAAAACTCTTTATTTTTATTTGATTTGCAATTTTTTTTTTTCAATTGATAAAATTTTGTTAAGCTTGTCATTCAAGATAATCTTGTTAATTTATACCTCGCATAACATTGGACATGTACATTAAAACTACATAAAATTATACCAAAATTATCTTTGTTCATCATGAAGAACACAGAAATAGAAAGACATAATAAATATGTAATTTTTTATTCTTAACATAGGTTAAGTATAATGAATTATCATCTTCATCCATCTTTCAGGAATATACTTTTTTATAATTAAAATGATAATCATAAACAAATGAACATTAATAAAAAAAAAAAGAAACAAATAAGCATGCATAGTAGAGTTTATATCATGGCTAATAATGTAAATAAAGGGTTTAGATCTTTATCTTAAATTTAAAGGTTGAGTTTTCATTTGAGTGATTTCAAACTAGCTTTTTAATAGTACTTTAGATAATTAGAGTTTCATTAATTGAAAACATCAAATTTAAACAGACTCATGTTGGAACATTCCTAGGATGGGTAATCTTCTTGAAAGTGTGTATCGATAGGACAAAATTGTGAGGTCTTGTAGGCCAAAAAGAAAAATATCATAATGGATGAGAGTTCGTATTATCATAACTTGATACCTATGATGCACAGACACGGACACAGATACGACACGACACGGACACTGGACACGTCAATTATTGAAAATATAGGACACGGGTTGGACACGGTATTATAGTTTTTATATTTAAAAAATAATGTATAAAAATTAAATAAGTATAATTTTAAAAAGTAATTTGAAAATAATAAGTCATTTAACTATAATTTGTGCTTAAAATGATTAGTATTAAGATATCGAGAGTCAGACGTCGATGTCGTTTATCAGTCACCGAGAAAGGAGATGAAAATACCTTCACTGCCAAAAAGAAATGAAAATGACAATATTCGATGATTGTGTATTAAATGTGGACGTTGATTTGGTGTTGTGGAAATAAGAAATTTAGTTTAAATCTCACCAAATACAAGAAATTATATTTAAAAAAATTCATAAAATATTTAAGATACATGTGTCGGACACGCGTGTCCAATTTCTATTTAATATTTTTTAATCAGACACATTTTCGGCGTGTCCGACACGTGTCGGACGAGTGTCGTGTCGGATACGGTGTCGGACACTGCACGCCTCTTTGAGAAGAAGTGTCGGTGCATCATAGCTTGATACCATTTAACACCTACAAAAATAAATCCACTTTTCTCATAGTTGTAACCAAGTAACAGCATCGCTTTTCTAATTAACAAGCATAATGCCCATTTCTCACTTCCTGAGCCTCAAAAACATTGGTTCATATTATTCTAAATTTCCCTTGAAATAAAATGGTAATTAAAAAGTTAGCATTAGGCTACACTAAGGACAGAGGTAAGAAAGGTTAGCATACCAACTATTCTAGCAGGAAGTGGTCGCGGAGGGGCAGCAATTGAAATAGGATTCTCCAGTTGTCGAGGTTTATCTCCAAGCGTTGAAGCCTTGTTTTTGTGCTCATTCTTCGGTGGTTCATGGCTTGGTCGTTTGTCAAAACAAGCATCATTGCTAGGCTGATGCATTTAGCGGCCATTAAAAGTAATATTGTGAATAGAAACTAATGAAATGTGCTACATTATTCACCTCCATTGAATGTACTTTACTCATACGGTGGGCATTTACCTTGGCTCTCTTTCCACATAATAGGTCATTCTCAACCTGGTAAAATAATAATGTGAACATAAATTAATGAAATGTGCTACATTATTCACTTCCATTGAAGGTACTTAACTCATACAGTGCATCATTTACCTTGGCTCTCTTTCCACTAAATGAGTCATTCTCAACCTGGTAAAATAATAATGTGAATAGAAATTAATGAAATGTGCTGCACTATTCATTTCCATTGAAGGTACTTTACTCATACAATGGTCATTTACCTTGGCTCTCTTTCCACTAAATGAGTTATTCTCAACCTGGTAAAAATACGAGCATGCACTATGATTCAAGAAAAAAATTACAAGGGAAAAAGGTGAAAAAGAGAAGGGAAATTAAGTTGTTGACTAAATAAGAAAATTATCTACTCACATCAACCTTTTTATCAAGATCATCATCACGACGAGTAATCTTCTTTAAATCATTATCCTGAAACATAAGAATAAAGAAACTTTAAAAAAAATGCACAAAACTACCAAGTCGGCAACAAAGACAAAAGAATTAACAACAAACCAATACCATCAACTCCAAAGAATCAAGAATAGCATCTGCAAGAACTCTGTAATTCTCACATTCAATATGTTCCCAATTGTATTTATACACCTTGAGAAGATCCTTAAGAACGGGTTTTGTTATTTCCCAGCTTAATCCAAGGGCCTTCATTGCATTCATGGCAGAAGCCACTCTTGGAGGGAGCTCCATTTCAACCCGATAACAACATAAACACCCACAAAAATACAACCTCACCGCATCAAACTCTAGAAGGAACCCTTCCTGGGAAAAAAAGTGACAATTTTAAATCAAATCATCACTCCCACAAAAATCTCCTATCAATATTAAAATAATAACAACAACAACAACATCAACAAGCCTTTATTCCATCACATGGGGTTGACTACCTAAATTCTTTTTCCTCATTATGTCATATTTAGAGTCAAATTCTCATTTAAATCTTAAAAAAAAGATGATTTTTTATATTTTTAAACAAAGTCATTTTTTTATATTTTTTTACTAAGTTTTTTTAGATCTACCTCTACTTTTCTTAGCATAGGCTACTCTAATACATCTACTCTCCTAACATGGTCTTTAAAAGGTCAATGTTTTATGTAATCAAATCATCTAAGACGACTCTCTCTAATCATCTCCGCCACTGGAGCTACTCTAACCTTTTCATATATATTCGTTATATAACACATAAGTAAAAAAGCATTATAGATATAATTTCTAGGAGTTGTTTGCATTTAAGTAGGATTTTACTCAAGATTTGGTAAATTCTATAAATTTTGAATTTATTATGTTTTAAAACATAAAAATTATCTAGCAAAATAAATGTTAAAACCAATTAAACTTTAATGAATTATTTGACTACTTATTTCAGATTTTAATAATATCAAATTAGTAATTAATATTAATTATTAAGATTACTTCATTTGCATTTAATTTATATGATTTAATATTATTAAATTTAGTTTAATTTTTTTTATAAATTTTAATAAAATTAATTAAATTATATTTATTATATATTAATACTATAATTAATTATTAATTAATAAAATATTAAACTAATGAAATATAGTAAATTCTTATTAAACAATGGATTTCTAAATGAATATCTCAATCTTATCGTCAGCTATATAATTAATCTGAATTTTGTTATCACCCAATCAACTAATTATCTTTCTCCAATGATTTACTATTATTATAACTAGAAAAAATAACGTAAAAATTAGAAAAGCTAATCAGAGTGACAATGGAGTTTTGGACATGAATGGTATTCTTCTCTACCATTCCCCATCTATTTTTATGATTTCTCTTCTCATTGGTTTTTGTATATTGATGCAACAAAAAAAAACACTAAAATTGTAAACTAGAAGACAACTTTCTTTTTTAAAATATAGACAAGCATAAACAAGATAACAATATTATTAAAACAAAGACACACTACAACTTATAAAAACTTTGAGAAGAAAGATACAAGTGGAATTGAAACCGTGGAGAAAATAAGGTAAAAGTCCGAGACAAATTTTTTAAGAGATAGGGAGGTAGAAGATAATATCCCTCAAGCTCTATAAACCCGCAGGTTTTTGTTCCAAACACTCTTCACGAAACCATCTCTCTCTAGAAGACAAAACAGCCCCTTTTATAGTAGAAAAAACACCCAACAACCCACATAAATGCGCCCCCTCAAGTAACCAATAGAAGCCTTATCTTGAGGAGACAAAATACTAATCTAGAAAATATCAAGGAGGGGAAAACGAAAAGCCACCAGCAATATTTTTTCTTGGAAAACAAACAGCCCACCCTATGGGAAACCAAAATCAGCATGGGGAACAAAAATTGAAATCTTCTTAGGAAAATAAAAAACCAACAATGAATTCGAAATTGCATGGGGAATACAACCACAAGCCAATATAGGCAGACATGGGCTAAGCCCACTAAGGACAAAATAGCACAAAGATAAACACCGACATTGCCAACAAAAAAGCAAAAGAAAATATAAAAATATCTAGCTTTGCTTGCATCAATTCTCCCTTGGTGGAGAAATCTCATCCCGTGATGAGATCGACTCATAACTTTCAAGATGTTTCGAATGCCCTCTTTTGTTTCCTGAATTAAAGATTCATACTCTTTCGGATCATATCCTTTTCTTGTTCAAACTCGGATTGAAGCTGATACTTCTTAGCTTCATATCTTTCTGCACATAAATATAGATGTTTTCGAATTTTGAGAAACTCGTTCTGAAGTGGATAAAAGAACATGCTTGAGGTGGAACATATTTTGTTATTGAAAATTTATCCTCTTGAATCCAAGGAATAGTTGGCTGACTTTCAAAAGTTGTAGGATCAAATTCATCTTGAATTGGAACTTCAATTAGTAGATTTTTTTTATTTTCCATCTTTTTGTTTTTGATTTTAAAAAAAAAAACTCACACGACAACCTAGGTGCTTTGATACCAAATTGATGAAATAAAAAATTACACTATAATTGCAAACTAGAAGACAACTTTCTTCCTTAAAACATAAACAAAAGACACACTATAACTTATAAAAATTTTAAGAAAAAAGATACAAGTGGAATGGAAACTGTGAAGAGAAGAAGTAGATAGAAGTTCGAAATGAATTTTTTAGGAAATAGGAAGGTAGAAGATAATAGCTCGCAAGCTATATAAACCTGCAGATTTTTGTACCAAATATTTTTCACAAAACCATCTCTCTCTAGCAGCCAAAATAGCCCCTTTTATAGTAGGAAAAATATCCAACAACCCACATAAATGTGCCCCCTCAAGTAACTAATAAGAGCCTTATCTTGATAACACAAAACACTAATCTAGGAAATATCCAAGAGGGGAAAACGAACAACCAACAGGAGTAATTTTGCTTGGAAAACCAACAGCCCATCCTATGAGAAAAAAAAATCAGCATGGGTAACAAAAATCGAAATATACATATAAAAAATAAAAAAGCCAGCAATGAATCTAAATTTGCATGGGGAATACACAATCACTAGCCAATATAGGTAGACATGGGCCAAGCCCACTAAGGACAAAATAACCCAAAAATAAATACTCAAATTGCCAACAAGCAAAATAAAATATAAAAATATCTAGATTTTCTTGCATCATAAATGTTATTCTAGGAGCCTTAGGCATGTCTAGGGTTTGCTTTTCCTTGTCATCATTTCTTCATTACTGCTTTAGCTTCTCATGCTTTGTGTGAATTGGCATTTTAAAAAATTTCCAAAGCTTCTTTGTTTCCTTCAATGGCGGTGGATAGAAAGTCTCAACAGGAGCTCACAATGAAGATAACGATCTTTCACCCTTTGGCACACTTCTTCTCCTGAATCCCGTAAGGCCGTCTCCAACCGAAAACTCATATTCCAATTCAAAATATAGAAATAGTCACATTAAATAGTAATTTGTCTCCAATAGAACTCCATTTCTAAACTCCAATATATATATATATATAATTATATATAGTGTATATTCTTTTCATCTCTTTTTTAATGATTATTTTTAATCATATTTTACATTTATCAATTTTTCTGATTTTTCAAAATAAAAAATATTGTGTTTGTCATGGTGCAACGCCAAAATTAGCTTCACATTGTTCACATCGCAAAAATGCCGCTGAAATTCACGTTCGGGTGGGCTGGTGGCGGACGGCAAATGTAATGTTCGTCGCTTAGCTTTCAATTGGAGATGGCCTGAATCCGTAGAACTATTGGGTTCATTAAATCTGGTATTTAAGGCAAAATGAAGAAGGAAGGATATTTAAGATTATGTAGGATTTAAAATTATCATTTTTGTTATTTTGCAGGATTATGTTAAATCATGTTTAAATCTTGTTCAAATCCTGCATCCAAACAACACCTTAGGATTTTAAATATTCCCCATTATGTTCTAATGTGAAATCATACTAGATCCAAGAAACCCCAAAAGAATGAAGGAAAAAAACTTAAATAAAGAAAGAAAATAGTAAAAAATAATCAAAAGAGAGTAAAGTTTACATTTATAGAGGAGGATGAACCTCTAGGTATTTCTAATCAATTTTAGTCAAATTTTGAGCTTTAATATTATCCATTAGATAGTTTAAATTAAACAACCAGAGTTCAAATTCTAACTCAATGACTTAAATTTATAGGTGAGAAGCAGTCAGTGGCGGAGCCAGAAATTATGTTCAGGGGGGGCCTTGATATATCATCAAAAATTATCTTCATCGGATACGAATCTCGATACAAAATTCTATTCAACTGTGCTAAGCCCGGTGGTTTTCCCCCTTTTCCAAGGTTTTCCACGTAAAAATTCTTGTGTTCTATGTGTGTGAGCTGAATATTCATGCAACGCGAAGATGTAGAATTACAATTCTATCGCCGCGTATATTCTAGCCCGCAACATGTCTAAATTAAAATAGTTATGCTTGTCGTCTCATTTGGAATGTTAGAATATATTAAAATAGTTCTGATTGTCGTCTCATTACCGGAGCTAAGAGGAGCTGTAAGATCAAAATTAATAATGCAAATAACATGAACCTTTGAGCTTATAAGGCATAAACATATGCCACATACGGTCTTTGTTTGGGGGTGAGAGAGAGCGAAAGGGAAAACTAAAGCAGTGGTCGAGGTCTTGACTCGTGAGTCGTGAGAGAGAAGTAAAGGGGAAAATGAACCATTGATGCTTTTCATGTGTTCAGAAAAAAAATGTTGGTGACTTTTATGGATTAATAAATAACTTTAAAAGGAAGAGTTATACAAATTAGAGCATGTTTTCTCGTTGACGAACTTGTTGCTCTATTAAGCCACCAAAACAATTAGATTTAAGCCCTTTCGGCTTTCAGTTTTAGCTTTAGCTAAATCCTTTAGAGGAGATCTCTCGTACTAAGTCATAAGTGCGCGGCCGCAACATTTCTGTTGCGCGAAAAAAGCGAGAAAAAGCAAAATGTACCATTCACCTTAATTAATTAGATTATTAGCAGTGCAAAAATAAATAAATAAATGGATGATAATTTAATATTTAATAATTATTATTAGATAAAGAACTCCGCCTATGGAAGCAGTTACTGTACGTTTACTAACCAACTGTCTGATTTATCTTTCACCTATAAGATATGAGACTAAGCTGGTTACTCTCACGTTCCTTGGCTTTACATACCTAGAAAAGATCTCTATTGGAGAAGCTTGCAACCCTAAATTTGGGAGGTCATTGTGATTTGCAAAATCCTAGCAAAGATTAAGAGCAAGCTTTGTAATCTCCCACTAAAACCCGAGCAACCGCTTTGGAGGGAATGCCAACTCAACTAGATTGTTGATAAATTCAAATTATTCAGATAATAAGGATAACTATCAAGTGGAAGTTAATGGTGGATATGTAGATAACTATCAAGAGAAATTTAATATTTTAGTTTTATTAAATATTTTGTTTATTTGTGTGGTTGTAATCTCATTTTGGAAGGATGTGACTCTAGGAATGGTGGGCTATATTAAGCCTAAAAATATTTTAAAGTGCGATAGTTGAAATCTTCTCTTATTTTAAAGAAGAAAATTAGTATTTTTGTTTTATTTGTGTTCTTCCACAAATGACATCATAAACACCCAAGAGACGCAAACTTACCACACCAAAATCGGAAAAACACCATTTCTGGCAATAAAATAAATAGCTTTTAACTAAATCAACATTCCTCAGAAAATCCCTGCATCAACATTAGCAAAAAGCAAGATAGAGCAGAGCTTGGATTCGGTTCCCAGTTGATTGCATGTAGCTTTCATAGGGCTTTAAATCTTCGCCAATATCTCCCGACGCGAAGGTATCGATTAAACCTAAGAGAAGGAAGGAAGATTTTACGGACCTAGAGAAGTAAGCTTGAAAAGAATTGCAAAACCCTTGCAGGGATTTCACTAGAGATTCAGTCTCTCTCTCTCTCTCTCTCTCTTCCTCGGTTTCCTTTAAAAGCGTCCGCTCTCTTTACCTTTACCGTTGCCGCCGTATCTCTCCGTCGCCTTATGCGGAATACGAACAGACTCCTGAAGATGTATTTGCGGAATGATTTACTTAAAATGGTCTGATAAACATCGAAGTTCGAGGGGCATGGTCAACTGTTCGTTTTGAATTGGACGGTGATGATGGCTTGGCTACACAACGGTTAGTAATATTGGTTATACAATTTCCCAGCGAAATAAAGAGGATGGTTTTACCAAAGTTTCTCCTCAGGGTTAGGATACGCATGAGCTGCATTTGATAGCAAAGTAATATCATAATTCAAACCTTATTTCTATGAAATTTTTTTTCTACTAACAAATGTTATAAAAAAATTTAGATCTTATTAGATCCAAATTTATATACAGTAGGTATAATATTTGTGTACAATTGACTAAGTGGGCCCGATTATTCCTTTCTCCTTATTTATAACTTCATGTTAGAATTTGATGTTGTATAAAAAATTATATTTAAGCTATATAAAAAAAGTGCATAGCAAGGTTTGACTAGAGGTGTCAATTTTAGGTCACAGGTTGGGTTTGGGTCAAATCGGAAACTGACCTGGCACTATTCGGGTCAATCCGAACCCGACCCATTTTGCAAACTGGTTGATTTTTCGGACCCGAACCTGACCCGCTTCGAGTCCGGTAAACCCGACATGACCCGAATGACCCAGGGCAAACAAAAAATTGCTAGTTTTCGCATCAAAAAATGGGTTAATATCTAATTTTCGGCTAAAAAAAAGGTCAATCTCTGGTTTCCTGGTCAAAATGGGTTTTTGGGTCAAAAGCGGTCAATTTTGAATTTCCAGGTCAACTCGAACCCGGCCCAATTTTTAAAACGGGTCGATTTGTTGATCCGAACCCGACCCATTTCCGGTTCGGGTTGACCCTAACCTGAAATTTTTGGATTGGATTTGAGTCAGATTTCCGGATTATGTCAAATATTGACACCTCTAGGCTTAACAAGTGTTTATTGCAAAAGTAAAAGAGGCATGTAATCATAATATGTAAAAAATATATATTAATTATTGATTGTAGTCATCACTAGTTTAATGCTGGTATGCAACTTTTGAGCTTGAGCTAGTTGCTTTTAATATAAGGATGTGTAGGTTTGGCCAACTTTAAGGTTGAGTATGCTCTAAGGTGAGTATGATCTATTTAACTACACATGACACTTGTGAAGTTCAATATAGCAAGTACATTTTGACCTTGTGAGTCAGTGTGGCTCTAATGATTCAAGGCTACTCTAACAAAGTACTGGCCGAGTTTTGGTGTACTTGACGAGTTCATGTGAACCTAAGAAATTCATCTTGAATATATCGAGTGCATTATTTTCATTATCCTCACTTAGCGAGTTTACTTAAAACTTTGAAATAGGATTGTCTTCAGTCGAGTCCATGAAATGTTTGAGTGTCTTATATTGAATTCATTGATTCTCTTTTATCTATGGAGACAAATTGCTAAGAGAATAATAAAATTTTAAAATAAATTATCTTATTAAAAATAAAGAATTTATAAGAATTTTCTATCGTCATGATCCATCAATAATGGACACTTACTTGATTGGATGTACACATCAATATCAATGGGAGCGTATAAATATTTTGCATGGGATTAGCATTTAAAGAATGCTCTTTTTTTATTATCTTCTTCCTTTGAATTACTCAAATGATAAGGTGGGCAGCATGCATAACCAATTATCCTAGTAATATCATAATTCATTATGCTATGTGTAAGCTTTTAGGCAAATATCATAATAAGAATATGTCAATATGTTAGAAAATTTTATGTCGATTCTACACAAGTTTTTCAAATTCAATAATAGATGTTTGATTCAAAATAAGTTTATATACAATGTATCGGTTGTTCGTGAAGTATCTAGCTTACCAATAATCTCCCATTATCGTCGTCGAAAGAAAAAAAGAAAATGAGAGTGCCAGAAATGGGGAGTTTAGGTGGTTAGACCTATACCCTGAAATGCTCCCAGCTTTGGGGCCTTTGATTCAATTCTTTTTGTTGCTGGAGGTACACATACCTCTTCTCGGTGTGAAGCTATATACGACAAATAGATGCTAAGCCTATAATGTTTGATAATAGAATTGACTAAACATAAGATGTAGAAGCTAATTATAAATAAATTTTACATACCCCGGCATTGAATTTTGATTGCGTTCTTCACTAATTTTGAATTCTTCTAAACCATTTCTCTCCCAATATGATGGTGTGTATTTATTCTTCTTAGAAGTGGTATAGAGAAAAGCTTAGGGACCCAAAATATATAGAATTTTGGAATTAATTTCTACTCATCATAGCAATGACTGAAATTTTAGTTTAAAAAGCTAAATTAAAACTAAGAAATATCTTTTTTAATTTCTGAATTAAAATTGAGTAACAATCATTTTAAATGCTAAATTAAATCTAAAAACAATCAATTAATTATGAATACTTTGGACCATTAATGATAGTTATTTTAACAATCTTTCTCTTAGTGCAAATATTCCATCACAAAAAAAAAAAAGAAATAAAAATCATAAATCATAGTGATAGGTCCTCTAAGTGCGAGTATTATCTCTCATGCATCACAATGATTATGTCTCTCATATATCAGCTTATTCAATTTAGTGATTAAACCTTATATTTATTCTAGGTCCAACTTAATGATATTCATCATTACATAAATGCACACATAATCATCATTACATAAATGCACACATAAATAAATAAAACATGAAAAATACAATAATTATATTCATTTTATATAGAAGTTAACTTAAGCAACCAAAACCATACGATCCACGTGATCCTTAAACTTCTATGGTGACATGTATTTAATTAAAGGATATGCTATCATTAATTCAGTACTTATATGTTCAATAACCATTGTATTTTTCTTAATGCATTCTTTTATGTTTATGTACTTAATGTTAATATCTTGCTTTGACAACTATTTTTGTTATTCTTAGCCAAAAACTCTATAGTTGAATTATCCTAATATATTCAATGGCCTAGATATCAAATATATAGATCTAAAAACTCTTCAACCATTCATCATGCGATGTGGCCTCAAAACAAGACACAAATTCGACATTCATAGTGGAAGTAGCAGTCAAAGTATTCTTAGCACTCCTCCAAGACATAGCTTTACCAACAAACATAAGTATGTACCTAAAAGTTGACTTTCGGGAATCAACATAGCCAACAAAGTCAGAATTTGAATAGATAGTCACTTCTAAACTATTATCCCGCTTATACATAAACATGTAATCTTTGGTATCTTATAGATACCTTAACACTTTCTTTACAGCTCACCAATGATACATACATGGATTACTCTAATATCTCCCTAACATCCCAACCACAAATGTTATGCCAGGTCTTGTGCAAAGTTGAACATACATTAGCAACCAACAAATGAGTCTCTTTTTGCCTTACATTCCTATTTACACAATATGACTTTTACATAATTAGGTAACTTAACAGGTTCCCAAACTTTGTTATGTGTCATTGAATTCATCTCATCTTTCATGATATCAAACTATAAATCAAATTCTTTACAATTCACAGCTTGTGAAAGTATTTTATGATTATTTTTAGGTCCAATATTATAGTCAAATTTTTGAAGATATATAATATAGTCACTAGGAATTGCTGATCATTTTTTCCTAGTAGATATTAATATTGTAACAACCTCCTTTAATGGAGTTGATTGTTCAATTATATCTATTGGTTCATTAGCAGCTTGTGGAATATCCATTAATGGTTGTCTAACACATAAATGGACATGAGGAGTGTTATGAGTAATAATTAACCTATCACTTAAAATGGAAGTTTAAGCATCTATATGTTTCTTTTCAGGAAATAAGCTTTATAATTGATCACTCCCACTAATCAAGTTATTCTTGAGAAATTTTGCATTTCTTGATTCTACAATTCTAGTGTTATTAGATGAACAAAAACATCTATAACTCTTAGACTTTTCAATATATCTAATAAAATATTCACTAATAGTCCTTAGATCTATCTTTTCCTCTTATGGATTATAAATTCTCACTTCACACGGACATCTCCATACGCATACATGTCTTAAACTCGATTTTCAACTTTCCCACAACTCAAAAGGAGTTTTAGGAACATCCGTAGTTGGAACCCTATTCAATATGTACACTATCATCTTTAGAGCTTCAGTCGACAAGAACTTAGGTAGTTTAGAATGATTAATCATGCTCCTCACCATATGTTCTATTCCACCTCTCAGTTATACCATTTTGATCAGGTGAGCCAAGTAAAGTATATTGGGCAACAATCTCATGTTCTTGAAGGAACTTTACAAATGGAACAAACATTTATCCATCCTTAGTATATCTTCCATACTACTCACCACATCTATCTGATCTCTACATTTTAATTTATTTTCTACATTATTTCTCTACTTTTGTCTTAAAAATCTTAAAGGCACTTAATGCTTCATTTTTATTTTTAAGTAAACAGAGATACATACATTATGAGTAATCATTAATAAATGTGAAAAAATATTTTGGATCATAAAAATCCATATATGAACAATAGATATTTGTATATATGAACTATAATATATTTTTACTCCTCTTGGCACCTTTCTTTGACTTGTTAGTTTGCTTAGCATTAATGCAACCCACATAAGTATCAAAGTCAAAGAAATCCAAAGTACTAAGTACTCCTTTATTCATCAATATTTTAATTCTATTTATGGTATGTACTAATCTCCGGTGCCACAACATCGAGGAATTTTTATTTATAACTGTTGCGTGCGAGAATATACGCGGCGGTAGAGTTTGTAAATTCGTGTCCTAGCGTTGCACGAGTATTTTCCACACAAACAGAAAAGAGAATGTGAACACTAAGGTTTTTACGTGGAAAACCCAAAAAGGGAAAAAACCACGAGGCCTCGCTCAGTTGTAAAGTTCCACTAGTG